AAGCTTTTTAAAGGCGCCGCGTAGTATAAACAAGGAGAGGTCGAGAGGCTGAGCCATGATGTCATTGCAGTGCTGCAGCTCATGGGGTGACGTCATCGCCTGGAAGCTTTCCTGCCCAGAGCTCTTTGGGCCAGCCTGACTCCCCAGGCCGGTTTAAGAGGTTGCCCCCCAAACGCCCTGTCGGAGGTCAAACCCAGTGTACTTCAGTGGCCCAGGAAGTACCCTGACCCCAAGGAGGGGACCATGACACTGTAAGTCTGGGCTGCGGCTCTTTTGGAGGGACCCATGTCTGCCGTAGGGAAACAGCCTCTGAGGGCGCAAAGAAAATTTGTATAGCAGGTTCCAGTTGCAGCCCATCACTCTGTCTACCTTGGAGTATTTTCTTCATCTTTATGTCAGGCCCTGTGACCCCGCCCCTTGCCTTTGACTGTGTGTGCTGTCGCTTTAAGCCGGGAGGTGTGGGCGGATTAGAAGCTTGTTTTAAAAAAATGTCTTTCAAGATGGCGGCGCGCTGGTCACGTGTCCGTTTGCGGCGAGCCATTGGCTCTGGGGAAGGCTGCGGGGCGGAGCCCTGGTGTGGGGCGGGGCCGCCGCGGGCTTTCCGCTGGCTACTGTTTGCCCGAGCCTCCCGGCGCGCCCCCGCGAGCCCCCCTCCCGCCCGCGCTCGACCCCGGCGCTTCCAATGTTGTGAATCAAATGTGGGTTTGTTACATTCCGCCGCCGCCGTGGACAGTTCTTAAAGGGGCAGCCTCCGGCAGCCGCGCAACCCAGCTGCGTCCTGCGCCGCCTCGCGCTACTCCTAAGGCCTGGGCTGAAGGAGACCGACCGCGCGTGGGCCTCGCGAATCAGACGCCGTCGGGCTGACAACAAAGGGAGAGGGCCCCGGAAGGAGCCAGACTGCCCCCGGACCGGGGGGTGGGGAGGGGAGCACATTGTTCCGCAGGGCGGGGACTCTTAAAGGGTCCAGGCAGCTTCCCCCCCCCGCCCCCCTGCCCAGCTTAGCCGTCCTAGATCGTGAACAAAGGAGTCAACGTGTGGCCGGGCGGCCGAAGGTGAGTCGGGGCCGGGGCCGCAAACTGTCGATTCCCGCACCCCTGAAACTCCCGATACTCTCCCTCGGGAATGGGGCCTGTGATCCACCTGGGTCCGCAGGGGTTAATCAAGGGCGGTCTGGACTGGGGACGGTGAGACACCTGGGATCTTGGACCCCACCCACGCCCCGGCACTCCTCAAAGCCGGGCCGGGTCTCCCCTCTCCTGAGGCTGAGCGCTGCGGTTGAGAGGAAGGAGCCGCCCCCTCCCCCTGTGGCCGCCACTTCCTTTGTTGTTGCTTTTGTCTCACGCCGAGCACATGGTCCAGGATCCTCAGCTCTTAAAGTCACAGCGCTCCGGTCCTGGCGCTGCAGTCTGGCCTCCCGCCCCCAGTCCCCCTCCGAGCGCGGCACCAAGGAATAGGAGGGGATGAAAGAGGCCCCTCTGGGGACAGGTATTCGACTTTCAGTACCCGGGTCCCATTCCCAGGAAAGGGTAGTTGTGGAAGCTTCCTGGAGCCCCACAACCTGTTTCTGGCCTGCTTTGGGGAGGAGCCTGCCTTTAAGGGACACTGGTTTCCAATACCCCTAATGTGACCACTCGGGTTTCTTGCTTCGCGTCACTTCTGGCTTTGGGAGTCTCTCTAGGAAGGAGCTGTTTCCGTCCCCATTTTACAGTTCTGGCAACTGAGGCTTTCAGAAGTGAAGGAATTTCCTTGACCAAGGTCACGGGGAGACTGCAGTGTGGTGGTCCCGCCCTCTGCCGCCTCCAGACACCACGCCAGGAAGCTTCTGGTGGAGGAGAGCAGGTTCTTTACCTGCCTGAATGTACTCTTGCTCCCAAGGTCTGACTGTTCTGCCACTAAGGGAAGTGCTTCTTTCTGCAAACAGAACTTGGCCACAAATGACAAGCCAGGGGCTCCCTAGGTTAGGGTCAGGGTGGCTGCTTGAGGCTCTTGACTCGGAGTTGGCTGGCAGGGGTGTGGGTGTATGTAGGGGTTTGCTGCAAAGGGAAGTGCCTGCCTCTAGGCAAGTTTGGACTTGGAAATAGAACTCAAGACCATTCACAACTAGCCTCTCCGGTGGTACAGCTAAGGAGGTGTGGAAAGGCCAGTAGAGCAGCTTGGTGTTTGACCTTGAGCAGGTTGCTAGCTCCAGTTTAGTTTCACCTCTCCGTAGCAGAGCTCCTCACAGGTGCCTGGAAGGGAATGCTGTTGTGCCCTCCTTTATGGCTTGGAATCGAGTTGGAATTCAGTGGTTTTTCCTCAGGCCGCTGCTGCCAGTGAGAGAGTTGGGGGAGTCAGGGCCTAGAGAGTTGCCTCAGACCAGTTCTGTTCCTCTCTGGCCTTACGGGAGAGGGCAAGTTTCTTCCTTTTCTCTGAGTCTCGGTTTTGTTGACTGAAAGTGGGTATGTTTCCCGTTTTGCGACTTCCGTTCCTGATAGCGTTTTAAAGAACCAATGTCCATCTCTTTTTCAACTGGGATACAGTGGGGATTGAGGATGGAGATAAGCATGTTTTTATTTTCCAATTACAATCATTCACACCTGAGCAAAATTTAAACTTTTCTTTCTTTTTTTTTTTTTTTTTTGGCGGAACGGGAGATTGAACTCAGGCCCTTGCGCTTATCAGGGAAGCGCTTATTCCACTGAACCATCTCCCCGGCCCCAAAATGTAAACTTTTCTGATTGCTTCTGCTGCTGCCTTTTGGAGCATCCCTTTCCCTGGAGGGTAGTTATTGGATTGTTCCCATTTTGCAGATGAAGAGGCCGAGGCTAAGAAAGGGGGAGCCGGGTGCCCAAAGTTTTCATCCAAGTGACTGGCTAGATGTTGGGAGTGATAGTGTGGGACTGTGAGGGTTGATGTATCTCTGTTGGTCCAATTTCTCAGCTCCTTACCCACTTTTCCTTCCCTGAGGAATAGGCCCAGGCCTGGGCCTTGGTGGATTCAGTCCCTACTGCCTGGCCTTAAAAGACAGACTGGCAGAAGGGGAGTAGTTGGAGCCACTGGACTCTGTGTGGCTGATTGCAGTGCTTTGATGGTCGCACTGCATCATGTCCCAGCACACACACACACAGATCCAGCTGACTGTGGACATCTCCTTTCTGAGCCTGAGGTCCTCCTTACCTCTAAGGTTGTTTTTTGTTTTTTGTGGTTTTTTTGCAGAACCGGGGCTTGATCTAAGGTTGTTATAATAGCACAGCTCCTACTGTTGCTATTCATTGATGGAACTGTGGGTTCCCAGGATCTCAAGTCTGCCAGGGCAGAGGTTTGTGCGCCTAGCTGTGCCCAGAAACTTCTGGGGAATTTGACCAAAAAAAAAAAAAAAAAAAAAAAAATCAAGGTGCTCTTGTTCCCCAACGCTCCAAAGAATCTTACCCAGAGGGTAGAGAGTAGGCTAGGAGTCTGTTTTTTCTTGTTGTTGTTGTTTTTAGGAGTCTGTTGTTTCAGTTATTTTTGTCTACATTTTCTTCCTCACAAGAGCCAGGATTCTTTGTAATCTTCCAGTTCCTAGTCATTGGCACTAACGTCATCACTGCCAAGCTGTGTGGTCTTGTACTTGTATCCCACCAGGGTTGCCCCATGCTAGACAAAAGGTAGTCACTGGCCCTACTCACTCTCTGCCAAGTGCTAGAGCCCTTGAAAATAAACTGTAGCTCATTCATTTCCCAGCTATGTAGCCTTGGCCAGGTGCTGACCTGTGAAAAGCTGGTTTTGAGAACTAGGGGCCAGGGTTGAGAGTTTAGCACAGAATAAATAATTTGTGCTACTGTTCACAGGAAAGAACAAGGTGTTGAGCTCACAGTTACACTGGCTTCCTGGCTGTGTGACAGGGATGCAACAATGTTTCAGGCTGGGTATGGAGGATTGATTTGTTCGTGGTGGAGGGGGCTCTCTGCAGTGGAAGAGCGGAGAACTGTTCCACCTGTTTGATGGGCTCTTCGACTTTGCTGGGAGGGCCTTAAGGTTCCAGGGCTTTCCCTGCCAGGGTCTCAGCCCAGCTCCTGGAGTTGATGAAATCTGATGGTGAGCTCAGTCCCCACTTCCCCCACCTGGAGCTCTTGTCTGACCCAAGGGAGGTGACCCTGCCCCCACCTGTCTCTCCTCAACTTCCTGTCTTAGGTTCTTGCTTCCCTTTTTTGTCTCAGCAGGCCCCACCTTCCACACTGAGGGCTGTGTTAGGGCCCTCAGAACAAGGACCTGGCTGCATTCTAGACCTAGCAGGCCATGGTGGGCCAGCTTCCTTTATCACCTCATATGAAGCTTCAGGGGTGGTCCACCTGGCTGCAGCAGCATGCAAAAGACAGACTTGTAGTTATGTTCTAGGTTTCGCATTTAGTGTGTGGGTCGTGCAGGTCCTTTCCTCTTGCTCAGCCTCAGTTTTTCTGTGTAAATGGGCTAGCTGTACCTTCACTGAAGAGTAAATGAAGTCACACTTATGGAGACACTGGCAGTGGCTGAGGAGAAGAAGGCTGCCTTGAACTAAAAGCCTGCCAAGGGCCAGGAACCAGGTCAGAACCTCTAGCAACAAAGAGTCCTAGTCCTTCTTAGAATTTTTCCTCAGCTAGCCTGATGGAAGCGAGCAAGAAATGATCCCATAGCTTCTTAGAGTTCAACTTGTAGCCACTGGCATGAGGCAGAAAGCCCTTATCCTAATCATCCTCTCAGAGCAAGGTGACTTGGAGCCAGCTGGCCAAGAAGCATGCTGACCAGAGCTCTGAACTTGCCACCTCTACTCTGAGGGGGTGCAAACCATTTTCACAGGGCAAGAATCTGAGGCCTGGGACTCTCTACAGGCTGAGCTGCCCCCAGTCTGCCAGCATTGCACCCAAAGGCCAGTTAGATGGCCTGTGTCCAAATATACAGAGCCCAAGTGCCACTGGCTCCTACAGTCTCACTGCAGGGGTCAACTTCTAATGGAGCAAGTGACTCAACTTCTCTGTGCCTTAGTTTCTTTTCTTACCTCCTAGGGTTGTGAGCCCCGGCCCAGCCCATCCACCTCCTTGCCCCCCTGATGCGACCATGGGCTCTGGCAGTGACTAGGTGGCCACCCTCTGCCCCTGTGGGTCAACAGCAGTTCCCTACAGGACCCAGAAGTGCTCCAGGCCAGCTCTGGGAAAGGTAGGAATGAGTCTCCCAGCCTTGGTGCTTAGGGGAATGCCTTGGGCTTGGGCTGTCATCTCACCCCAGTGGGGGTGGCTCCCTGGCTTCCCTCCATGTTCTGTGAATGAATGGCCCCATCAGTCCTACCAGGGCCTCCTCTCTGTGGTACAGCCCCGGCCACCAGGGCCTCCTGGCCAGCCCGCCTGCCCAGGATGAGCACTTACCCTCCCAGCAGCCGCTGCCCCGACCTCCACACCTCTCCGTAGAGGAGCACCGAGCCTCGGCTCCTGCCGGCGGGAGCCCCCGAATGCTGCACCCAGCCACCCAGCAGAGCCCATTCATGGTTGACCTTCACGAACAGGTGGGCAGAATGCCTCCCCACTCAGTGTTGTCCCCAGTCATCTGACAAGCAGAGATGAGAAGCAGAGGCCCCCAAAATGTGATTTTACTTTGCACAACTCCTTGTACATTCAAAGATAATATTATTGGCCTGTTTTACAAGTAGGTAAACTGAGGCCCAGGGAGGGAGAGGAGGTTCCCTCAGGTCACACAGTGAATGACTGGCAGAGCTGGATACCACTCCTGGCCTCCTAAACAGGGAGCTGAGGAGCCTGCCAGGGTGTTTCCTTCTTAGGACAGTGCAAGCTACCAGGCTACCTCTCTAAAGCTCCCTGGTGCTCTCTATTCACAGGTGCACCAGGGACCCGTCCCACTGTCCTACACAGTCACAACAGTGACCACCCAAGGCTTCCCTTTGCCTGCAGGCCAGCACATCCCTGGCTGCAGTGCCCAGCAGCTCCCAGCATGCTCCGTGATGTTCAGCGGGCAGCACTACCCCCTGTGCTGCCTCCCACCCCCGGTGAGTGGGTGCTTTCTCCTGTCCTGAGCCCATTGCAAGCCCCAGGAACTTGGCATGTAGCACAGTTCTCAACCAGGCTATTGGAGGGCCTAAACCCTAGGCAACAGCCTTCCCAGAAATGCGTGTCTGTGTTCTCACTGAGGGACGGCATTTCAGGGTTCAGGTAAACTGTTGCCTTTACACATGAGTATGTAACCCCCTGGAGTGGGGACAGTGGGCTTTTATAACCATGTTCTACCTGTGTGCGCTAGGGCAGACATGGGATCTCCAGAGCTGCTGTAGTTACTGGGTTTTTGTGTCCAGTGAGGACCTTTGGCTGGACTTACGGCCCCCAGTCCTTGTCACAAGCATAGGTTCAGCTCAGAGCCCAGAATATTCTCCAGTCCCCCTCTCTCAGCAGCTGATCCAGGCGTGCACCATGCAGCAGCTCCCTGTGCCCTACCAGACCTACCCCCACCTCATCTCCAGTGACCACTACATCTTGCACCCTCCACCGCCAGCCCCACCACCACAGCCTGCCCACATGGCACCTCTTGGGCAGTTTGTATCACTGCAGACCCAGCACCCACGTATGGTAAGTCTGGGGCATGGGTCTGATGCTAGAGGGAAAAAGTAGGGGTTTGCCTTGTCACTGACTGTGGCTGTCCATTCTTGTCCCTTCTAGCCCCTACAGCGGCTTGATAATGATGTGGACCTGCGAGGGGACCAGCACCCTTTGAGTGGCTTCAGTTATTCCACTTCTGCCCCTGGCCCAGCCTTGTCCCCCTCAGTGCCCCTGCACTACCTGCCCCATGACCCACTGCACCAGGAGCTGTCCTTCGGCATGGTGAGTGTGAGCCCCAGCCTCCCACTCAGGTTCTGGTTCTGGGGTAACTGGGAGGCAGGCCTGCAGGCTGACCCGCACATGGACCCCTTTCACAGCCATATTCTCATATGATGCCGCGGAGACTGAGCACCCAGAGATACCGCCTGCAACAGCCGCTGCCCCCACCACCCCCGCCACCACCTCCACCACCTTATTACCCCAGCTTCCTGCCCTACTTCCTGTAAGTACCAGCACTTCTGCCTAGAGCAAGGGCAACCTGTTCTCCCTGGGCCTCCAGTGGTCAAACACAAATACAGCCTCAGAGGACCTGGGACCTCCCTGAGCTTCTAAAGCCATCTGGTGCTCCCACTAAGCCAGACAACCACACCCATACACACCAGTTGGGCTCCTGACGCCTCCTATCAGTCCTGGGGCAAACACTAGGGTTACCAATATGAACCGTGCAGTGCTCTGGATTTTGTTTTTGTGGAGTTAGGGGAGCTGCTCTGTGCCCCTTTGCTGCCCTTGACCCTGTACCCCTGCACTGCCTCCTCTAGCTCCATGCTGCCAATGTCACCAACAGCGATGGGGCCCACCATCAGCCTGGATCTGGATGTGGATGATGTGGAGATGGAAAACTATGAGGTCCCGTGGCATCCCCTGCTGGGAGGTGGGCTCTGGGAGACCCCAGCCTGGGTGCTGTTGACCTTCTGTTCTGTCCATCTCCAGGCCCTTCTGAACCTGGCCGAGCGGCTGGGAGATGCCAAGCCCCGAGGCCTCACCAAAGCAGACATAGAGCAGCTCCCATCTTACCGCTTCAACGCGGACAGCCATCAATCAGAGCAGACGCTGTGAGTGCCTCACCCCCATCTCCTGTCCCAGAACTATGGGGCTATAGGAGATCCCCTTCAGGGAGCTTCATACTTGTCTTGGGCCTGCCCTCAGCTCTCTGAGTAGGAGTGATAACTCTTTTATCCGCTCCAGGTGTGTGGTCTGCTTCAGTGACTTTGAGGCCCGGCAGCTGCTCCGAGTCCTCCCTTGTAACCATGAGTTCCATGCCAAGTGTGTCGACAAATGGTTGAAGGTAAGGCAGCCCTGGCTGGCTCCCTGGTGTTGCTCCCATGTGAGGGGGGTGGGCACACCTTCAGGGTTTTCTTCTTCATCCCTGTTGTCATGCAGAAGTTCTAGCGCCATGGGGCCAAGTCCCCACCAGGCAGGTGAACAGAAATAACACAGGTGAGATGGGAGACTGGTGAAAGTGAAGCCTGACTTGTGGCTTCTCCCCTTAGGCCAACCGGACGTGTCCCATTTGCCGGGCTGACGCCTCCGAGGTGCCCAGAGAGGCTGAGTGAGGCCCCACAGCTGCCCACAAGAGCCCTGTCCGAAGCTCTGGAAACTTGGGGGACCCAGGGAGGGAATTGCGCAGGCCCAGTTCCCACCTGCATCTCCAGAGCTGGAGCCAGGGTCAGCCCTGCGAGAAGCCCCTGCAATAAGCCCCTGCATTTGCCAAGCTCCAAAGACTCCTTTCCTCATCTGCCTGCCTGTCTGCCACCACAGAGCTGCCTGGGTATCCCTAACTCAGTCTCCCTCCTGTTTGCCGTTGGGTTCTTTGTTTTTCTGCTTGGCACTGGGAGCCAGGGGTCTGTTCCCCACTGTGGCTGATTGGGGTCCTTGGCCCCACGATGGGTAAAGGGCTCACCATCCTGGGTCACCTGGTCTTTTGCACTGAATTGGTGTGCCCCCCCTCCCCCCCGCCCAGGTAGCCCTTCCAGGTGTGCGGACAGATGGTGGCATGAGGCCATTTCCTGAGCCCCAGGGCTGAGTCCTACTTGACCCCAGAAGTATTAGGCCCCAGCTCCTGCCTTAGACTAGAGGGCGTCCTGGAAAGGCCTCTTGAGCAAATGGAGGTCGGCCCTAGGCTGAGGCAGTGTATGTTGAGGGGGTCTAAGCCTTGCTGGGCAGAGGGAGACCCTGTGTTCTGGTGGCTGCCCCTTCACCAGCAATAGGGTCAGACCCATGTCTACTCTTCTCCCCTCTTTGTCATTTTGCATGAATGTGAGGAGCAGCAGTTTTTGTTTATTCATTTGGCCCAAAATTGTGTGTAGGATTTGGAGGTGTGGGTATATATGACAATTTTTTTCCTTTGATTTAGTGGGGGGGTACAGGGATCTACCAGGACTGAATGCCCAGTGGGCAGAGAAGGTCAGGTGGTGCCACCTGGCCTGCATGCATGTGTGTGGCTGGGGCTGGGCCGGGTAGCTAGCGGTCGTGGGACAGGGTTGGGGGATTCTGTGCTCAGCTGATAACTGCCATGCACTGTACTGCACACGTCCCTAGAGCCTAAGCCTACTGGGACCGTTCGCTTTTCAGGGCATTTCTCCCTCTTCAGCCAGGGTCCGCCTCCAACCTGCCTGGGTGAGTCTCCTCCAAGGAATCCCCCAGAGGACAGAGATCAGGGAGGTGGGGACCTGGAGTCCCCTCCCAGCCTGATTGCCCTTCAAGGTCTGGAGGGGGTGACCCTTTAGGGTCTGGCTGAGCTCTCACCCTCCTTCCCTAGTTTCATTCCTTTCCTGCCCCCAGCTGGGGTTGCTGCCCTGAATGAACGAACCGCGTGTGGGGCCGGCACATCCTAGCAGGCAGCCCTTGGCGCCTGCTGCCTCAGGGATGCTCCAACCACCCTCGTTCTCCCCGCAGCGGCCCTGGCCCCTGCCTCCCGCCCCAGCCTGCCGTGGGACCCCTCAGCCTGGTCCCACCCCCATGGAGAACCCAAAGTCTTAACTGTATATAATTCCAGGTGACGTTTCTATATTTATAGCAGTGTTGAAAAACCCATGTGTTTTACAGAGAACCACTCTCCAATCTCCCTCCCTTCCCCACCCCAACAAAAGGTTTTCCAAACCCTCACAGTTCCTGGGGCAGGCGGAAACAGGTTCACGGATCGTGTGTTGTCTGCAGCAATGATTCCAGCAAACAGCTACTTGGGGGGAAACAACATTTTAAAAAATCATCACAAAAAAAAAAAAAGATTTATGAAACAATTATTTAGGATGTTTGTGATTTGCTGACCTTGCTATAGATGCCATGTTACCAATGATTTCCTGTGGTGGGGGCTTGTCATTGTTTACTCTTTTTATTTACCAACTTCTGGCCTAGGCATGACAGTGGGCACCTTCCCCCAGCCCTGGCTGGGCCCAGCGCCTGTGTTCTGTGTTAGAAAGTTTTTATATACGTATAATTACATATATATATATATATAAATATATGTAATTGTGGGGGCCCTGTTCCTTGCACATTTTACAGTTACCTCATTTTTCCCATGTATGTATTTGAGAAAATGCTAATATATAGAGAAAAAAATGGTTCTTAAAGCTTAAATGTGTGGTTTTTTCCATTCCATTGGATTCACATTGGTTTGTAGCATTTAACATAACTAGTATGTTGTATTATATATGTGTATACTGATTGAAATTTTTAACAGATTTGTACTTTTTTTAAAATGAAAGTTGCTAGTTCTGCTTGACCAAGTAGTGCAATCATTATTTTTTTTAATATTGTTGCTGATTTCAGAGGGATATTCACTAATAAATGTATGATGTATACCAAGAACTGCCCGAGCTCCTTCAGCTGCCTGTTTCTTCAGTGGGCAGGAGGGGTGGGGAATGGTAGCAACATGCGGGCAAGGGTGGAAGGGGGGCATGAGAGATTGTTCCGTCCCTCAAAGCCAGTCTAATGATTCCTTCTGGGCCATCTGCCTCACTTGCAAATTAGGCAAGATTCTGTTGGCTAGGAACATCCATCTAACTAATTTGAGGTGAAAAAAATTCATTAGGCCTGACAAAATCAAGTACTGGGAGGGGACCAGTTTAATCCAGCGGGAGAACTTTTTTTTGTGTGTTATGGAGCTGGGGATAGAACTCAGGCCCTTGCACTTGCCAGGCAAGCACTTACTCAACTGAGCTATCTCCCCAGCAGAAGAACTTTTTTGTTTGTTTGTTTGTTTTTTGCGGAACCAGGGATTGAACTTATATCCTTGCATTTGCCAGTCAAGCGCCTATCCTGCTGAGCCATCTCCCTGGCCCCTAATTTGGCGGAACCAGGGATTGAACTCAGGCCCTTGTGCTTGCCAGGAAAATGCTTATTGCACTGAGCCATCTCCCCGACCCCACCAGCAGGAGAACTTTGGCCAAGCATAAGCCAGGCTTTAGGCTTGATTCCCAACACTGCAAAATAAGTACTTGGGAAGATTCTTCTGGTTTCACTAGACAACAGGGCTCAGGCAGAGGCAGGATGTCCAAGAGTTTGAGGCTAGCCTGGGCTACATAATGAGACCCTACCTCAAAAAGAAAGTTACCTAACATTTGGGTTGGGTTTTTCAGGCTGGGGAGATAGCTCAGGGGTGGGGCTGGTGCAGCATGTGGCCTGGGATCGAACTGAAGTCACCTATGCCTACCTAAGCTTTCCTAGGCAGGCACTTTAGACCACTGCGCTAACTCACTTTTTTTTTGTTTTAATGTGTTTAGTAGAGGGTCTCATTCCAGAGATCAGACTTGTAGTGATCCTTCTGTTTCCAGCTTCCCAAGCACTGGTAGTGTAGGCACATGTCACCACAGTAGGCCAGAAATCAAACCCTGGCCCCTGCATCTGCCTAAGCAGGTGCTTTAGTTCACTGAGCTATTTGGCCAGCCCCATTGTTTGTTTTTGAGGCAGGCCTCAAACTTGAGGGAATCCTCCTGCCTCAGCTTCCCAGTGACTGGGATTATAGGTGTGCCTGGCTTTACATTCTTTGGTTTGTTTTGGCCACAAGGGTTTCTATTACATTCCCTGGAGCTAACTGGGACTTGGTGGTTAGATGAGTGGTAGCAACTAAATTCCCAGGTCCCAAGAGGTCTGAGAAAATTAGAAAGTGAAGTTAAGTTTTCAGTAATTCAGTAAAGAAAAATCAGGTGGATATGGCAGTGCACAACCGTTAACACCTGTACTTGGGAAGCTGAGGCAGGAGGATTGCTGTAAGTCTGAGACCAGCCTGGACTACACAGACCCTGTCTCAAAGAAAAAGAAAGCAGGGGGCCGAGGAGATGGCTCAGTGGAATAAGCACTTCCCTGGCAAGCGCAAGGCCCTGAGTTCAATCCCTGGTTGTACAAAAAATAAATAAAAGAAGGAAAGCAGATCATCAATTGATTTAAAAAGAAAAATGAGGGCTGGGGAGATGGCTCAGTGGAATAAGTGCTTCCCCGGCAAGCACAAGGGCCTGAGTTCAATCCCTGGTTCCACCAAAAAAAAAAATAAATTCTTGGGAGCTGGTGAGATGGCTCAGTGGTCTAAAGCACCTAAGCTTAGCAAACCACAGGAACCGCGGTTCAATCCCCCAGCACCACGGTGGGCTGAGCTGGCCACACACACACACACACACACACACACACATAAATAAATTAAAAAAAGAAAAAGTGACAGGTGTGGTGGCCTCTGCCTACAGAGTTCATCGCCAGCCTAGACTGCACACTGGTGAATTCAAGGCTATTTGAGCTACATATAGCAAGGATCTGTCTCGAGACAAAATTCACTTTTCATCCGTATTTTTTTTAAAGTCAGAAATAAAGGATTACTTTTTCGACTTTATAAAGAGCTAACAGCGTACTTAATGGTGGAATGGTAAGATGCATCCCCTGAGATCAGGACAAGGGAAGGAAGCCACTGTCAACCACCCCTATTCAGTATCAACTAGGCAAGAAATTCCAGACAGGAAAGGAAGAATAAAACTCCAATTTGAAAAACAAAAAACTTCCAATTTGCAGATGATCAGATGAAAACACGTAGAAGTCCCAATAATTTATTTATTTTTTGATGGTGGAACCAGGGATTGAACTCAGGCCCTTGCGCTTGCCAGGGAAGCGCTTACTCCACTGAGCCATCTCCCGGCCCCCCAAGAATTTATATTTAAAAACTGAAACCGTGAGTTCAGGAGATCAAAGGATACACACTGGACATCAAGACTGAACTGGGGATGGTGACATACCTGTAATTCTAATGTTCTGCCACATCAAGATAGAAGGTGCCCAAGTCTGAGTCCAGTTCTGGGCAATTTACTGATTTTCCAAGACCTTGTCAAAATAAAAGTTGCAATGCTGAGGAGGTAGCTCAATGAGATGGTCCTCGGTGCAATTCCCAGTGCTGCCAAGATAATAAAACATAAGCTAGCCTGTGAAATATGACACTATCTCAGGAAGGAAAAAAAATTTTCTATAGACTAGAGGATATTTGGAAATGGAATTTAAAAACAATGATAGCTAGGCATGGTGGCACATACCTGTAATCCTAGCACAGGAGGCTGAGGCAAGAGGATCACCATGAGTTTCAAGCCAGCAAGCCTGGGCTACATAGTTCAAAGCCAGCCTGTGCTACATAAGAAGACCCTGTCTCCAGAACAAAACCTGGTATTTCCCCCCCTTTGGTGGTACTGGGGGATTGAGCACTGAGCTCCATCCCTAACCCCCACCCCCCCCCTTTTTTTTTTTTTTTTTTGGTTTTTGTTTTTTTTTTTTTTTTTTTTTTTTTTTGTTATTCCCCCCCCTTTTTTTTTTTTTTTTTAGGTTTTTGAGGCAGAGTCTATGTAGTTCAGACTGGCCTTGAATTTATAAGTTAGCCCAAGCTGTCCTCAAACTTAGAGCAATCCTCCTGCCTCTTCATCTGCAGTACTGGTATATTTTAGGGAAGGTTCTACAGGGTGTTCAGGGCCTCACTACTAAATCGAACTCATAGTGATTCTCTTGTTTACAACCACCCAAGTGCTGGGATTACAGGCATGAGCCACCATGCCCAGTCTCAATTGCTGTCTCAGGGTGCCCCGGGGGCAGGGCTGGCACGGCAGGTCTGGGGATTGAACCCCAGCCCCTGCTTGCAGGTGCTTTAATCCGCTGAGCTATTTGGCCAGTCCATGGAGTACTGGTATAATAGGAATGTGCTACCATACCTGGCTCCCCAGCCCTTTTTTATTTTAAGACAGGCTCACTGAGCCTAGCCTCAAATTTGTGACAAATTTGTGATACTTCTACTGGAATTAGAAGTGTGTGCCACCACACCTGGCTGATCTCTTTTTTGTTGAGAGAGAGAGAGAGAGAGAGAGAGAGAGAGAGAGTTGTGTGTGTGTGTGTGTGTGTGTGTGTGTAAGAGGTGGTATCTCACAGCACTCCAGGCTGGTCTTTTTTTTTTCCTTTTTTATGTATTTAAGACAGGGTCTAGGGGCCGGGGAGATAGCTCAGTGGAATAAGCACTTGCCTGGCAAGTGAAAGGACCTGAGTTCAATCCCTGGTTCCACAAAAAAAAAAAAAAAAAAGAAGACAGGGTCTACAGGGTCTCACTACATAGACCAGACTCGTAGTAATTCTCCTGTCTTCAGCCTCCCAAATGCTGGGATTACAGGCATGCACCACCACACCCAGTCTCAATCCCAGTCTCAGTTTGCCCCTGGGGTGGGGCTGGCATGGCACGCCCAAGATCAAACCCTGGCTGCTGTGCTCTGCCTAAAGCAGGCAATTTAGTCCATTGAGCAATCGGGCCGGCCCTCCAGGATGGCCTTGAACTCTTAGACTCAAATAATCCTGTTTGGCTTCCTGGATTGCTGGTAGTTTCTACAGGTGCACGTTACTGAGCCTAGCTTTTGTTGTCTTGAGAACTCTATGTATCTGAGCTATAGCTTGCATATGATATCTGATACCCGAAGTCCTGAAGGTTTTCACCTGTTTTCTTCTAAAAGGTTAAGTTTTCTGTTTTATCTTTAACCCTATGATCTGTTTTATGTTAATTTTGTGTAAACTGTGGAGCTTGTTGAAAAAATTATCCAAATGTTTAACAATCAATTGCCCTTTTCAGGATACATTCTTTGTTCTGTTCCATTGATCTGTATGTCTGTCCCTCTGACTGTAGCACATAGTTCTTTTTTTTTCCACGTCAGATGGGTAATGTGCCCACGTCGTAACAAGGTTTGAGGGAGGCACATCTCATGCAGTGTAAGACGTGAACACCCAGTCATCATGCTTATGAACCGAAGGATCTGTACCACATAGTTCTAATTCAACTATGTACTAAGTCTAAGTCATGGACTGTGATTTTTTCCATATTATTAGTGTTTTACAAATTGTTTTAGGCTCACTAACTCTTTTATCTTTTAATATACATTTTACTCTTTTTTATTTTTTATTATTATTATTTTTTCTTTCAGAACTGGGGATTGAACTCAGGACCTTGTGCTTGCCAACCAAGTGCTTATTCTACTGAGCTGTCTCCCCAGCCCCTTTTATTTTTTTTGAAACAGGGTCAGTATATGTAGTTCAGGCTGGACTTGGACTCACTGTATAGTCCAGGCTGGCCTCAAGCTCATGGTGAGTTATATATATAACTCCTATATGTCATGTTTATAACTCATGCTCAGTTTTATATACATTTTAGAATGTCTAAAAAGTTTTTTTTAAGGAAAGTGCAGTAGCATTCATAGTAAGTTCAAGCCCACCCTCAACATGTAGCATAACCTATATTAAAAAAAAAAAAAGAAAGAAAGGAGGGAGGGAGGGGTAGGCTATACTTGTAATCCAAGCACTTGAGAGGCAAGGATCACCATGAATTCAAGGCTATCCTGGGCCACATAGCAAGGCCATCTCTATAAAAACATGAAAGGGCCAAGTGTGGTGGTGCATGCCTATAATCACAGCATTTGGGAGGCTGAGGCAGAAGGAACCTTGTGAGTTTGAGGCCAGCCTACACTATATAGTGAGACCCTGTCTCAAAAGAAGAGGAAAAAGAGGGGACAAAAGAAAAAACAAGGGGCCAGGGA